AGCTGGATGGTCGGATGGATTGGCTGATTTGTTACCTACATTTGTATATGTGTTTGTATGCACGTGTAAATATGTACGCATGCACTGCATGCAAGCGTGTCCAAGTGCATGTAAATATGCTCATCGGCATCGGCATTAATCGAAAACGTTAATGTTTTTCGTACGGATATTAAACGGTATTAACTACAAGCATAACAACAACAAACACAAAAACAATCAGAAAACATTAATAAGAGTAGCAAAAGCTTTGGTGGCTGCAAACGGGATACGACACGACACGACAAAAGAGGCATTTAAATCTACATACATCCATCCATACTTATATACGTATGTATACATACATACGTGTATGTACGTAACATATTATAGGTAACAATATTGTAAGCGAGCAAAGTGAGAACAAAACCGATAAAGTTTATTATTAAAACTTAATTGCATATTTTGTGTGTGTGTGTGTGTGTTAGTTTTTTACATGACTTTTTATATGTATATGTATATTTGCATTTTACATTTTTGAGGTTATGTGCACTAATTTTATGAACGTAGCTACACATGTAGCTATAAACATGACATGAATTCGTGCGGTTAAATAACGAAAATGATTTTGAGGAATTGGCGATAAAACATAAAGCACATAAGAACTTAAAATAAATCAAATAAATAAGATGAAATTAAATTAAATAAATTAAAACAAAGGAGTAGTTAAAAATAAAACAATAATAATAATAATAAAATAAAATAATAATAAAATAAAACAATAATAACAATAAAAATAAATTAATAAAAAATAAAACAATTTGTTACTATGATAAATTAAATTAAACTAAAGTAAAATATATAGCAAAATAAGAAAATATAAAAAAAAAATAAAAAATAACATAAATTGCAACAAAATCTATTTAAAATGAACACAAAATAAAACAAATAATATAAAGCAAAAATATACAAAATAAGGTCAAGTAAATAAACAAAATAAAATGAAATAAAGCGAAATAAGAAAGCGAATAATAAAATAATATAAAATAAAAAATAATATAAATTGAAATGATAAAATAAATAAACGAAATTAAAATAAATGAAAAAATAAAATAAGAAGAGATAAAATAAAACAAAGACAAATAAAATAAAATAAATAAGATAAAATAAAGAAAGTTAAAGCAGAATAGACCAGCAAATAATAAAATAATTTAAAATAAAAAAAATAATATAAAATAAAATAAATAACATAAAATAAAATAAATAAACGAAATGAAATAAATAAAACAAAATCAACTAAAATAAAATAACGTTAAAGAAAAAGTTATATAAAATAAAATAAATCAAAAACAAAAAATAACAAATAAAAAATAAAATAAAACAAAATAAAATAGAATTAAAGAAACTAAAATCAAATAAAATAAGAACGAAAAATATAATAAAAAATTAATTTAATTAAAATAAAATAAATAAATTGAAATGAATCAAAATAAAATAAAACAATATCAAATTAAATAAAAAAATACTATGAAATAAAAATTTAAAAACACTAAAAAATTAAAATAAATACTAAATAATGTAAGGCGGTCGCGGTAGCCGAGTGGGAGGAGCATAAACTGCCACTTGGAATACCCAGCTTCAAATCCTGGTAAATAAAAAAATAAGTTAAATTGCAGCCGCTCGGAGGCGGCGTGGAATAAACTGTAGGTCCCACCATTTTTGGGGGAAGCATAAACAATTTGGAGGAGAAGTTCGGCTGAAAATCGCTTCAGCTGTTACAAAGCGCCAATTATATAATTAAAAAAATAAAATAAAATAAATATCCTAATTTTTAATTGGTCGAAAAAATTACAATATTTTTACAATACTAACCTGATGAATTATACTATAACATCACTATAAAAATAATACATAAATTTTTAATTATAAATACCATTAACATATTTATTTGTCAATCCCACTCTATCCACCGCCTGCCCATCTCCATACCCCTCTCTTTCTTACTCTCTCTCACACACACATTCGCCAACAGCCACCCCATTCTACCCCATCAAATTCAAAATTCAAAATTCGAAATTTAATTTTTAATTTTGTTTTGTTTTTGTATTTTTGACATGACAACTTAATGGATTTTAATCTGTCACAAACTTCACTGACGGCAACTTGACGTTATTGTGACGGCTGCTGCGGCGGCGAATCTATCTACGGCGAGTCTTGACGGCAGGAAGGCAAAGAACGAAACGCCAAGTTAGTGACTAAGTGCAACACCGATACCAGATATGAGAAGTATTGCAAATGGAAAAATGAAAAAATTAAAGAGTACTTGTGCCAATACTCGTATGCATGTGCGCATGTACATTGTTGTTGCATGAAGCGCTTGACGCAGTTGGAACTAGGGAGCAATCCAACATACCACATATGTACACTTTCCATCATTGAAATGTGTGACGTGAAAATTTTGTTCCACCCATTGGCGATTGCCATTCAAAACCGAACACACGTAACATCGAAATACCAAAACACAAAAGCGTGAGGGAGTTGAACGCGGTGACTAACTGTGCGCGAGACAGTCCAGCGGAATGCCGTGACTAGGAAGATCATCAGCAGGCGGCGTACAATTTGCGTTGATTGATTATGAGCGCGAGAATTCACAGGAAAATTCTACTAAAATAACAAACAAGCGTGGAAAATAATTACGCACAAACATATTTACTCCTGCATAGGCGTATGTATGCATGCATATACTAATCCGTTGCATATGTAAATGGTTTTTAGCTCTACTAATTTTTGGTATCTCATGAAAAGAAATCAATTTGATATTTTCAAAACAAAAAAAATATAAATTAAAAGAAAAAGTAAAAAAAAAGAAAATGGCGTTGCTGTGTGGGTTTTAATTGAAATATGTCAATCATTGTGTTGGTGGGAGGAAGCAGCTAGAGGCTCACACGTCTGTGTGCACATATAATATACTAGCATGGAATTATAAAAGTAATATTTTATGCTTAACACCCTAGTATGTATTAAAATAATTTTTTAAAATTATTTTTGTGAAAATATTCTAGCCTTCGATTGATCTTTAGATGATGATCCTCCTAAAATATTAATTTTTTTATTTAATATTATTACGCGAGTTTTCATTATATATTCCCAATTTTTATTTTACTTTATATAATTTTATTTTATATTGTTTTATAAAATTTTATCTTGAATTACTTTGCTTTAATTTATTTTATTTAATTTTATTTTTTTTATTTTGTGTTGATTTAATTATTTCTTTTTTTTCATTTTCTCTTATTTTGTTTCATTTTATTTTAATATTTCATTTTATTTTATGTTCATTAATTTCATTTTGTTATATTTAATTTTTGATTATTTTATTTTAATTATTTAATTTATTTTATTTACTATTATTATGTTTTAATTGGTTTTATTTTATTTTTAATTTCACCTTATTTTTTATTTTATTTCATTTATTTATTTTATTTTATTTTATTTTATTTTATTTTATTTTATTTTATTTNTTTATTTACATGACAGTAAGTTTTAATGCATTTTTGAATTATTTTTATGATATTTTTAAAATATTTTTGATTTACATATTTTTTCAAAAAAAAAAAAAAAAAAAAAAAAAATAAAGAGATAGAGAGAGAAGGGCAAGATGAATATGAATATATAATGTCATTCAATTGGTATGTACAACTACTCTATTTTATTTTATTTTATTTAATTTTAATTTTAAATTTTATTTTAAAATTTTATTGCAATGTTATAATTATTTTTTTATATTTTTTAGTTTAATTTATTTTATTTTACTTTGCTCTTTTTATTTGTTTTTTTTTTTTATTCAATCTCAGTTTATTTTTCATTACTTTATAACAGTTCTTAAAGCTTTTTGCTTATTATAAATCTGTTTTAAATTTATTTATTTTATTTTATTTTTTTTATATTAACGTATATACTATACTAATTTATATATTATATTAACATATATATATTACAACATATTATATTTTTTATTTTATTTTAGTTTACCTTTTTTATTTGATTTAATTTAATAATATTTTATTTTAATTGTTTAATTTCATTTATATATTTTTTTATTTTATTTTTTTGTTTATTTTGTTTTATTTAAATTTTTCTTTTATTTTTATTTTATTTGCTTTAAATTATTTAAATTTTATTTTACTTTATTTAACTTCATTTTATTTTATTTTATTTTAATATATTTTATTTAAAAAAATTTTTTTATCTAGATTATTTTTTTATTTTATTTTATTTTATTTTTTCTTTATTTTATTTTATTTTATTTTATTTTATTTTATTTTATTTTATTTTATTTTATTTTATTTTATTTTATTTTATTTTATTTTATTTTATTGTATTTTATTTTTTCTAATTCTATTTTTTTGTTTCTATTCTTGTTTTAATTTTATTCTAATAAGTTTTTCTCTTTTTTATTTCGTTCTATTAATTTTTTTTCTATTTTATTTTATTCTATTTAATTTTTTTTCTATTTTATTTACTTCATTTTGTTTTGTTTTATTTTATTTATTTTACTTCTGTTTTTCATAATTTATAAAAACATTTTTGCTTGTATTTTCTTTGAATTTTTTTTTAACTTATTTTAATTTATATTTTATTTAATTTTTTGTTTTCTTTTCTTTGTGTAATTTTTATTTAATTTTTTAATTTTTTTTTTGTTTAGTTTAATTTTAATCTTAATAAACTATTTAATTTTATTATTTTTATATATTTTTATTTATTATTTTGTATTTATTATTGAAATTTTTGTATTTGGTATTTAATACTAATTTTTTTAATTTTTTTTCTTTATAATTTTTATGTTTTCATTTATTTTTTTTTTAATCCTATATTTGTCTACATCTGTTTTGTTCTCAATTGCCCTGCATAACCATTGCAGAATATATTTCTTTTAATTACCTGCAAATAGTAATTAACACTCCTATTTAAAACTTCACCTAAAAAAAAATTATTCAAAAATAAATTACGTAAACCACACTCACCTCGTTTTTGCATAAACGCAAATAAGTCGTCCAAAAACACCTTTCTTTTGGGATCATCGTTGATCTCATAAAGCTGAAAATACAGAAAAGCAAGAGGAAAAATGGAATTATAAATTACTTGTATTGTTCAAGAATGAAAAGATAGAGAAAAATAAATTAAAATAAATCAACAAAACCCATATGGATTAACAAAACCGCAAAGAAGATCTAAACACGAACGAAAACAACGACAAACAAGCGTTAAAGATCATCTTGACCCCAAAAGGTCAAAATTAGCACCTAACCCCTAAATGGGATACAGCCAATGTTAGGCTCGTTACGAAAAGGTAACATTACACATACAGAAAAATATTTACATGAATGAGTGATACGAAAAATAGACAACAAAAAAAGTTTCACAGTTCAAAGATGAACAGCAGTTGCCAGCGGAGGCTGCATGCGAACGTACAACCCCTAATCGAAAACATATTTACAATATATAAGTAGCTAGATTAACAACGATTCAGTGATTCACGCCTTTTTTGTGGCTTGTGCTCAAGCGATTCAAATATACGTGAACCCAAAATCGAGTTTTCATTCAAAAAAAAAAAAGGAAATGTTTTCATTTAGCCGCCACACCTCAGGTGTGGTAAATAACAGGCAACACTCGAACAACCAATCATCAAGCCAAACCGCAGCAACCACCATAAAAAATCTCGAAAAAATGCAATAAAAATATCTGTGATCATATACAAAGCGCGCAATGAGTGGATAAGGGGCGAGCAACAAGATCGATCGCTTGCCTAACACACACACACACTCACACAGGCACTCATGCACACAGATACTTCAAATACACACGTGACCTTCCTTATCTTTAACAAAATTGCGGCAGCTTGTTCTGATTGTCATACGAGTGTTGACCCAGACTCGGCTTGGATATTCTCTTCTTACGAGTACATAACATCCCTTAAAAACCATATAGACATTTATTTTTTGGCACGCAGGCGCCTCTCACCTTTGTAACTGTTGTTATTCATTATCATTGGGGGTTGACTAGCATAGAATGCTCGCCTATCACCTCCATTTGAATGTATGTATGTATGTATTCATTGCATTTTTCTGATTGCTAAATATTTTTTGTTCAAATTTTGAAGTGTTAAAAAATATATTTATTTATTTGCACAATATTTGTACATATACATATGTGAGTATATAATAGTATTTTGTTTGCTATACTTACTGACTAGCACATGCGTACATATGTATATATGTTCGTTATATATTTACTTACTTGAGTTAAATGCTCTTCGTTTTGCATTTTTTGCTCTGGCGTATCGTACACTTTATATGTATGCATTTTTGGTTTGTTTGTATGTTGTGTCTCCTACAGTGGCTTATCTCTTTTATGTAAACTTGTAATTGCTACCGAAAATGTCAGTCATTCAAGTATTGTTCAATAATCCCGTACACGTTACTTTAGCTTGACACAATGAGGAGGGCAAATTATGGCTAATGGATTATGAGTCCTTTATTAGAGAGGATGGGAAATGAATGAATATAGAATAAATATAGAAAATAAAATTAAATATATTAAAAAATAAATAATTACAACAAAATAAAAGTATACTAATTAAATAATACTAAACATAATTAAATCATTTAAAAAAAAATAAATTAATTAATAGATATACACAATAAAAATCAAATAAAAAAAGAAAAAAATATTAAACAAAATAATACAAATAAAACATAAAAACAAATAGAAAAAAAATTAAATATAAAATTAATCAAAATAAACTATGAAAAAACGAAACTAATTAATTAAAATAAAAATAAAACGAAACTTCAATAAAATAAAACAAAATATAACCAAGCAAAATATTAAATAAAACTAAAAAAGAAAATAATAAAAAAAACAAAGAAAAAATAAAAATAATTAGGAAAAATAAGATAAAGAAAACTAGAAAGAACTTACAATTAAACAAAATAAACTGAAAAAAAAACTAATTAATTAAAATTAAAATAAAATTAAGTAAATAAAATAAGACACAATATAAGCAAAAACAAATAAAATAAAACAAAACAAAATAAATAAAAAAATAAAAGGCATAAAAAACAAAAAAAAGTAAATAAATAACAGACGAAAATAAAAAACATAAAATTAAACAAAATAAAATGAATTCCTTAAAAAAATTTAACAAAATGGCATAAAACAAAAAAAAAATAAAGAAATAAAAAAAAATTAAACACATTTCAAGCAAATAAAAAATAAGATAAATCAAAATAAAATAAATAATTTAATCTGCTTTTTCAGGTCATTGTTCTGTTGAAATGTTTTGGGTCCTTTTTTATGAAACTTTTCAGACCATATATTTTTTGGGAATAGTGAAAAAATTACAACAATAATTTTGGACGGTAAAATTTAAATTTTCAAATAAGATAAGGAAAAAAGAAAAACAAGTACAAAACAATTGAAATCAAATAAAGCTATAAAAAGTTAAAAAAAATTAGACATAAAAATAAAGTCAATTAAACATGAATTAAAATAATAACAAGCAATGAAAAAAACCACATAAAAAAAATATGAAAAAAATGAATTAAAATGAAAAAAGGTAAAATAACATAAATAAAAATAAAATTAAATTAAATAATTATATGAAATAAGTAACATTAATATAACAAAAGTTAAACAAATTAAAGAAAATTACTATAACATAAAACAAGAATAAAATTATAATAACAATAAAATAAAATAAAGTGAAATCAAATAAGAACTAAAAAAAGAAATCTTAAATTAATTAATTATATTTAATAAAATATAAAGATAAAACAAAATAAACTAAATTTCAAATTTACCAAATCAAATTTATTTAAATAAACTAAAAGAAAATCAATTTGAATTAAATAAAAGAAATTAAAAAACTACTAAAATAAAAAATTTACTAAAAATATAAATACATATAGTAAAAAATAATAATATATAGATCCAAATTAAATTAAGGAGTGTAAGGCCACTGTAGATGCTCAAAAGAACTATTATTTTTTTTGTTATTGGCTAAAAATATTCTTTGAACCTTCTAGTATAAGAAACCAAGGGTTTTATATGTACCCGACATCGATTTCATTGAAATTATGGGCTCTTCTACCGAGCGCTCCAAGCCGTTCCGATATATATTTTGTATTTCTCAAACCTTTAAATGCATTATTTCGAATCACGTTATTTGCAGTATGCGCGCAGCATAACTCAAACAATTTTCAATATTTTTAGCTTTTTTCTTATACCTTTTTATTATTATTTAAACAATAGTTTTAAACTATTAGGTGACATTTTTTTTTACTCAAATGTTTCCGAATTTCACAAAAATCTATATTTTTAAAATCCTTACGTCATTTTTTAGCTACTCTCATGTAAATAAGCAAAACAAATTTGTTGCCGATTCTATTTTGCACCCTGTGCGCTGCAAGCCGCGGAGCTCCAAGAAGAAAACTCACTTTACAAAAATGCCCATAGTTCCGCCATTTCAAAATATTTTTGGTTGTAAATTAAATTTTTTTTCCATTTAAATATGAAACTAATAAGATATAGAAACAATTTAATTGTATTGCCTGTCTTTCCACACAAACAAATTCTTGAAAAAAATGCTTTTTTGGCGTTTACGATGGCCTCACCCCTTACAGCGAGTTTGATAATAAAATAAAACAAAATGAAACGAAATAAAATCAATAAGGTATTTTAAAACAAAATCAAAATATTTATAGGTAAATAAAAAAAATTAATAAATTAATTAAATAAATAAATAAATTAGTTATTTAAATATAAAATAAAATAAATAAATTAAACAAATAAATAAATTTACAATTAAAAACAATGATAAAATAAAAAAGGAATTTTAATTTAAAAATTACAACTTAATAAAATGAAATTTAATAAAACAGACTAAAGAAATAAAACTAAATAAAAACTTAAATTCTTTAAAAGTTATTACGAGAGTAAATTTTTTTAAAGAATCAAAAATAAAATAGAATGAACTGAAAATTAACAACAGAAAAAATATCTCAAAAAATTTTTAAATTCAAATGAAAATAAAATGAAATGAAATATAATTAAAACAATTAAATAAAAAGTTCATGATTAAATTAATTTATGCTTAATACTGCAAATTAGATTTGTATCGATGTAAAAATAAATTAATTTTAATTTAATTAAATATAAATATGATTATTAAAAAAAAACTTTAACTGTAATTTCCTGAAGAAAGCTTTATTTTTGCTGAGAGTAGCAATTGAGAAATAAAGGGCTTTAAAAATCATTTTTTTTTTTGTACAGATGCGGCACCGCTGAGGCAGCCAGGTACATAATTGAATGTGTTTCTGAATATCCACAAGGATATATATTACGGCACATAGAGGCGTAAAGACATAGAGACTAGTAAATGATAAGGAAAAAATTAATTTTATCATTTATGTAATTTTGAGCACTCATCGGGAGATTTTGCGTCAACAACTCTACGTTAGATAAAGACTTTACAGCGAAATTTTAGTTAAAAACATTTTCCGGCCAATTACCGACGGCAAATAGCAAATGCAGCTGGTTGAGAATATATTCGTGTATATCAAATTATATATGTATAAGTATAAATGTATGCTATTTTTGCCGGCGGCTTATGCAAGACACCAGTGTGGAGACTGTAATTTTTAAGTTACGACTAAACTACAAATTTTTTCTGGTGCGTATTAATTTAAATATAATAATTAACAAAAAAAAGTAAATATTAAAGCATACAGATACTGTGCTCGTTTAAATTATTTTGCTATATTTTTATAATTACTAAAATTTTATAAATAGCAAATGAGCGTAATTATTTTTTGCAGCTTGAAAATATAATTATTATGAAAATGTTTAATTTTTATTTTATAAACCGTTTCATTAGTTTATGTATATACAAAAGTAACCACAAATGTATATACATATGTATATATTTACTGTTGCCCATAAGCAGGCAGCCCTAACTGAATATTCGAAGACAGGTTAAAGTGACAGAAAAATGAGGAAAAAATTTTTGCGAAAATTAAGAAATATACATAATTCAA